GTTTTCAGAGATTGAACCCCCAAACAGCAACCAATCAGGCTCGGACATATTAAAAAGGTTATCTATAATTAAAAAATTATGAGGGACATACTACACGACATTACGACACACACAGTGACACACAGAAAAATACAAAAATTATTACACAGTTGTGGTGGAATAATGAGCCTTGTTATAGTCTTAATTTTTTAATTGCATTGTTACATGTGGACAATTGAAGTTTTTCAAATCTCACAAAGATGTGTACTTGCAAGAAATGTGAAATGGATCCTATGCAATTACATTTTGAATAATTTTTGTAAAAAATATTTGTTAATCTTAGCCGTTAAGCCAGTCAAATGATCATATATTTATTTAAATGTTATATTATAAAATATCGTATTTTTAATATATTTATTGTAGGAAACTTTAATTTTCCAACATATATATATATAGATGAAAGTATACGAATCTACTGAAAAAATATAAATATTTTCATGGTTAGACTGTCTGATGATTAGAAGTTCACGTCAATTTCATAGATTTATATGCTTTTATAGTGAAATATCATACTGAAAGAAAATCATACAACATATAACATATTAAAGTATAATTATACATTTTTGTAATCAAAATATGAAATTTTAATCATTGCACCATGGTACAACTAACATTTGTGAGTTGAACTAAGCAATTTTGTAACGTATACGTAATTATCAAACGAGCCTTTGTGAATTCTAAAAGAAAAGTGGAAAAAATGGTCAAGTTATTGACAAACTTAACCTTTAGCTTTAAATTCTTAGCTAATCGTTTTGCAGTTTATGTCGAAGGAAGCACTTTTTTCCAAAGTCAGAAAATTTCGAAACATTTCTTGATGTAACGGAAAATGAAACGGATTTTTTTTCACTAACCAATAATGAAACGGATTTTTTTTGTTCCTATTATTTATTAGCAACGGAAAATGAACTTTAACCAACGAATTTTTTTGTTCTTGATGATTCATATTCTAGTAGTGCCTACGCACTATTAGGGCGGAGTTATCAAATTTTTTACTATAGGATCTGAAACGTAGGTATTTTGTCCCGAGTGCGCTCAACGTTGTTAGAACACAAATAAACAATTAGAATAGCGGAAGCAATAAACCGAAGATTTAAAAACTCTTCAGGGAACCGTCCCACTTTCCCTTAGAGCTCTTTCATTGATAACTCGATTGTGCACATGCGTATAGTTTTGGAATTACAGCAACTAGAACTCCGTTCTAGCCTAACCAACAACTATACTCGAATCTACCAACTACTTCTCCGGCCACGTCCCGTGGACTTTAAATAACACTTAATCCCTAAGTGCTGATCACAATAATGTTTGAAAAACAAAGAAAAGAAAACAAAATGACTTCAGTTCTTCGATATGTAAGAACACCGAAAACTGAACTGAGAACTAAAATAAAAGAAGACTTGAAGCTCGAATAGTATGTGAATAATAATGATCTCAGCAGCCTTGATTGGATCTTCAAGTAGGGTATATATACAACTCATTAGGTTTGGAGTCTTCTCCAAGTTCTTTCCTTCTTTCACGATCTCCTTTGATTTTCTTCCCTAAAATAGTGTAGTAACATGGAAAGTAAATCTTCATTGATTGTATGTGATTTTGAGATCTTCAGAATTGAGTTTCCAATGGAAGTCTCGTGGTTCCAGACTCGTGTAAGAACATAACTTTCCTAAAATAGCCGATCTTCCAAATCTTCAAAGATCTTGTAGTGAATCTTCCCAAATCCTCCTTAGATCTTCAAGATAACGTACAAAATTCCCTATACATGAATTGTTCATCCTTTCATAGTATTTGCCACCTATTCCCTGTCCTACAAGAGAGAGAAAATTAATTATGGCATAGAATCAAGCTCATTAATACATGTGGCATATATGGTAAGTACATATATAAGATATATATTATGTAATTCTTCTCCTAAAGGTTTAAGATTCCATAATACACATTATAATAAATATATAACATATATTATTAATAATAAATAATAGGAACTTACTTAATTAACAAGTAAATAAATAAAAAACTTCTCTTTTTTTATTTTGCTTGCCTAACAAGAAAATCTTCTAAAAAACACTTAAGTTTTTCGGATGATGCTAAACCAATATTCTTACATGATCAAACAAGTATCCACACGAGTATTTATTAATTTAATGGTAAAAAAATTCGTCAATTGTAAGGCAGTTGTATGTAAGGTTGAATCAAAATCACCACTTTAGTGGGTTTGCCTTTTCATATGCATGTGGGATTGCTGCTCTTGGCTATATAAAAACTTACAAAAAATGAATTTTGAATTCGAATCTAAAGAAGGCTAGTAAAGGGTAAAAGTAAATGAAAAGAACAAAAGAATATCAACAGGCTTTGATTACAAAAATTGAAAAAAAAAAAAAAAATGGAATAAGCTTTCACCTTTACCTACATTAAAAAACTGAAGAATAAAAAATATTTATAGGTAGTATTACATTGAGGATGAAGATGAAATCATGCATTGAACATGAAAAAAGATGTGAGTTTTTTTATTTTATTTTTTTATTTTTATTTTTTTTTCACCAAAAAGTCCCACCACTACTAAAGCATGTGGTTTCATCTTTCATGTAACAAATACTATGGAAAGTTCCCCAACATTTATCCAACAGAAGATGAAAAGGCACATGAGGCATTTATATTTTTCATGGAATTATGCAATATGTAAAGTTATAACACATGTAAAAAATACCCACATTCTTGGTTTGATTTTGATTACCAATTGCATTTTGTTCTATCCAAAATGTGTTATAATATATAGAGAGTTGTAGGGTTGTAGCATTTCATGTCATATGTAAATGTTATAAACATGTATCTAGTGTAATAAATAAAAATACAAAAAAAAAAAAAGCTTGAATTTATCTTTATATAGAGATAAAAGTATTATAAAACAAAACCATTTATTTCCATAATTACATAACATAAATATATATTTTTGTTATAAAAGTATGACAAGTCCACGCACGAAACAGTTGAACCGACTCATACATAAAGTTTTGTATGTTAAAATGTTGGATTAAAGCATATGGGACGAGAGGAGAATAAAATGTCTGCCACACTTTAATATTTCCTTGACAAGACAATATAATTGAAAGATCCCAACTTTCATCACACATTATTATATATGGTTTGGTTAAAAATGAGACAAAATAAGTTATATAGAGCTCATTAAATTTGTGTCCATCCACTTTTATTTTTTACAATTTCCTTTGAAGAGTTTAGGTCTTTCCCGTTTTTCTTACATTATTTGTTCCTATGAACAAAAGTTATATGTCATTGATATGAAATTCCACTTGCAAAGTCTTAAGAATCTCCCAATTTGCACATATAACAAATCTAACAAGACAGTTTGAGTTTGTTCAGATTAGAAGAATTGGAAACTTTTTTCTGGAGTGAGAAAATTTAACCAGTGGGAAAATGAAAATTGGGTGAAGCAACTTGCCTCTCACAAAGTGAATAAAAAATATACTAAGGTTTATTTCATAAATGGAATTTATTTATTTTCTTAAAGTATTACTTTAATTTTAAATAAACTGAGCTAATTGTATGTTTCATGTCTTTTTGAAAAATGTGATTTTTAAAAGATATTCAGCTTTTTAACAAATATGGTTGTTGAATCAAAAAGTATCCTATGTTTCGAAATAACTTCGTACTATTCTATGCTTTTTTTTTCTAATAAAAATGACATTTAATTATTATAATTATATTATACTCTTGTTCAAGAAATCTATCTGCTTATTAATAATGCAAGCCTCAAGAAAGATTGTGTACTATGTTGGAGCTTATAAGCTTATTCATAATTTCAAAACTTTGACTTAAATTTTGTGACAATTGGGTCAAATGTCACACTATCTGTACTTGTTCCAACTGGATCAGTATGGACCGTTCCTTTCAAAGACTCAAAAACATGTTATTTTGAAGATTCTCTTTAATTATTTCATTATATTTCAGTATTTTCTCAAAACAAACGAAGTCATTTGTGGTGAATATTTCTTTCTTTCTTCCTTATTTTCTGCAAGGGATTAATAAATACGATTTCTGAAAAGATAATCCTATTTTATATTGAGATAAAATATTCGTGATATTTTTTTGTTGTAAAAGACAAGCTGGGAAGATAATTTTTTGGTCCCATTACTGCACAACACAACACAATAATAGAACCACATTGATTTTTTATTACCCTCACCAGGAAAAAAGGGAAATTGAATAAGTCTCGAGGCAAGTTGACTGGAGCCTAAAGAAAAGTGCTGAAAATTGTTTTTACTAATTATGTAGTATCGTAGTATAACAAATTATTCTATTTATCATTTTGATTTACCATTTATTATTATTATTATTATTACTTTGCTTAATGTGTTAGAAAGATGTGAATTGTTGATTTTATTTTAATAATATTGTAATGTGAAGAGTAGTGAATACTTGGGTATTTTCAGTAATTCAGTCTGAACCAAACCAAACAACCAAACCATTCTGGTATTATAAAATGACTGTATAGAGTCAAGAATAAACATTGAACAACTATCATATGCAAAGATTCATATTTTGCATTATTCAAATTTGATTATTCCCCAAACTAGTCATTTTTTCTTGTTAAAATTTGATAAATATATAGGAAAAACTTCGATAAAACTATCGAATTCTAACAAATTAATAGGTCACTTGAATTGAACTACAATGCTCGTAATATACTCACATTCAATAACTAGACTATATATCATTAGAACAAAATTAAAAACCGACCCAAACGAACCATTACCTGCCGGGTGAAAACCGAGCAAGCAGTTCGGGTGGAGTAAATACACAATATATATACATGTA